TGGGAGGCGGGGTGGGGGCGGGGCGGGGGTGTTTGCGGAGCTCCAGGTGGTCCGGCCCTCGCCCCGCAGGGACTGACACGAAGGAGATTTCGACTAATGGCAAAAGCGAGTGAAATGAGCCGAGGACAGGCTGGGGCGGGCGCTCGCCAGACGCGGTGGTGCTGAGCATGCAGGATGGAGAGAGAGGGTGTCACGCGGAGCCACAGACACGGCGGGCGGCCCGGCCCGCTCCTGCTGCTCTGCGCGGCGCCCCCGGCGCGCGCCTCACCTTGGACTCTCGCTCCTCCAGCAGCGTCTCCAGGCGCTTCTGCGCCGCCCGGCCCTCGTGGTCGTCGCTGACCAGCAGGATGACGTGGTTCCAGCTGTAGACGCGCATCATCTCGAACCAGACGCTCGACTGGTGGGAGTAGGGCGGCACGGTGCGCAGGAAGCTCAGGTGGATGCTCTGCGGGCACAGGCAGGCTGAGGCGCAGGCGGCACGAGCCAGCGGGGCCACCACGCTGCCGCTCCTGCCCTCACACTGTGGGGACACCTGCCCGACCCTGGGGACCCCACTGCCGCCCACCTGCCCTCACACTGCTGGGGACACCTGCCGGACCCCGGGGACCCCACTGCCGCCCACCTGCTCTCACACTGCTGGGGACACCTGCCAGGACCTGGGGACCCCACTGCCGCCCACCTGCCCTCACACTGCTGGGGACACCTGCCAGGACCTGGGGACCCCACTGCCGCCCAACGACCCTCACACTGCTGGGGACACCTGCCGGGACCTGGGGACCCCACTGCTGCCCACCTGCCCTCAAACTGCTGGGGACACCTGCTGGACCACGGGGACGACCACGCTGCCACCCCACTGCCCTCACACTGCTGGGGACACCTGCCAGACCCCGGGGACGACCACGCTGCCACCCCTGCCCTCACACTGTGAGGACACCTGCCGGACCCCGGGGACCCCACTGCCACCCACCCCTGCCCTCACACTGCTGGAGACACCTGCTGAGACCTGGGGACCCCATTGCCACCCATCTGCCGTCACACTGCTGGGGACACCTGCTGGACCCCAGGGACCCCAATTACCCCCACCTGCCCTCACAGCGCTGGCCTTTTGCCCTCCCCACGTGGTCTGATCTGAGCTGGCAGGAGGCTCGGCGTTCGCCCAGCAGCACCCCGACGGGGATGCTGGTTCTCTGTGTTCCTGGGGAGCGCCCTCCCTGCACCCCACCCCGTGTTGGAGAACTTGTGTCCAGAAAGTTCTCAGTGACACTCAGCATCTGGAATACCCACGGGGGCTTCCCAGGGTCCTTCCCCAGTGCATAAAGTGTGTTTATTAGAAAGTTTTCCTTCTCGGGGCTGGACATTTCTTCTCTTCCCCAGAGTCCCGCCATCACTGCTCGCTGGGCCTGCCTTGTGTTCTGTGTCTACTGGCACGTCCCGGCATGGCCAGGGGTGGAGCAGGCTCTGGCATCCCCGGCCAAGGTTCCCTGTGTCTGCCCAGGGGGGCCCTGGTCCCTTTGGTGCTCCTGTGGACACTGATCTTGTGGTCCTCTAGGCCTCCACGTTATTTTTTATCTGTTCCCTCTTGGTGGCCTAGGGGTGGTCCCTTGGAGTACACAATGTCCCCTGCCTCTCCATCATCCACCTGGTGACATGGCTGCAGGGTGGGTAGTGGTTGGGGTCTTGGACTGGCTCTGACTTGGGTCATGCTGGGCCGGGTGTTGGGCCCAGGGTTGGCTGACAGCAGGGACCACAGGGAGCCCGGGTGTAGCCGTGAGGCGGGGCTGAAGCTTCGGCCTCGCCTGGGCTGGGTGCGCGCACTGGGCTGGCTCAGTGCTGTGGGGCCCTGCTCCCAGCCTCTTGCTTGCCCCACCAGCCGCCTTCTGTGAAAGGGCCATTCTCCTCCCTTTACATACAAAGAAACTGGTGTTCAAGGAGGTGAAGGATGCAGTGGCCGAGGGCACAGGAATAGGACCCCCTTTCTCTTGGCTAAGGGCAAAGTCAGCCGGGAGGAGCCACTTGGGCTTTCAGAGCCCGAGCAGGGGTGGCTGCGGCCTGTCTCATCTCCTGCCTCCAGGGCCCTCCCGAGGAGCCTGGCCTCCTCTTCCCCACTCCCATCCTCCCACACACGCCTGGGCCTGGCCAGGAGTCTCAGCGCCTCAAGGGAGCTTTACCTAGGACTGTGGCCTCCACGCAGGAGGGATTTGGAGAATATGGGGAACCTGGCTGCCCAGCTGCTCAGCCCGGCCTGTGGCTCCTCCACTGAGGCCCCACGCCAGAGTACCCTGCCAAGTGGCCTCTCAGGGTCTGCCCGCAGGGAGGTGTGCAGGAGGCTGTGGTAGCCCTTCCAGCCTCTCAGGGGCCAGCTGGCATCTCCATCTACTGGGTATTCCTAGAATCGCGGGCAGTCTGAAGGCTGTGTGGCCTACAGCAAGTCCCTGTGCCTCTCTGGGCTGGAGTTTCCTGCAAAGCTGAGTTGGTGACCTCTCCCCTCTTCCAGCTGTGGTTCCAGGATTGAACAGAGACCCCCCTGGCTGTGGGCCCCAAGATCTCTGGATGGTGCTGAGCTGAGTGCTCTCAGCCCTTGAGGCTCGGAGCCCCCAGGCCAGCACCCCGCCCCCGCCCCGTGCCGTGAGCTGCTCGGTCTGTTCAGCCTGAAGAACGTGGACCACTTTCCTCCCGGGCCCCGCAGTAGGGAGGGCGGGGAACCCCAGCCTTCACTGCTGCCTTGTGGACCCCTCTTCTATTCAGGCTCCTCCTCCTCCTGGAGCCTCTTCCCCAGCTCTCCAAACTCCCCCATCAAAGTCCCCTGTCTAGGAACCTCCCCTGCACCCTTTCTCCCAGCCCACGGGGCCTTGCCGTTCTCCTGAGAGGATGTCAGTGCTGTCACCTGCCAGCGGGCCATCTGGCTGTGAGTGCAAGTGTGCACGCATGTGTAGGGTGAACAGGTCAGTGTTGTGTGATGGCACGTGCATGGGTGCACGGTAGTGCACGTGAGACCTGAGCGTGTGAGCGTGTGAGTGAGAGCGTGAGAGGTGAACATGTGAGTGCATGCGAGATGTGTAGGTGTGTGTGTTTGTGTGCCTGCGTGCATGAGCGTGCATGTGCATGTGTGAGTGCATATGGCCCCTGCTGCTCCTTGGGGGCAGACCCCATGGTCTGGGCACCCTGCCCTATCCTGTCAGCTACCTGTGGCCCGGTGCTGAGTACAGGAAGAGAAGCCCACTGGGTCCCGGCCTGGTGGTCAGGCTTACCTTGTCTGAGTAGATGGACATGCGGGTGGTCAGCCCCAGGACGGGAATGCGGTAGAAGCCGGCTGTGTAGGAGACGGGGGTGGGAGTGAAGTGGTCGTTGGGGGTAGGTGGATGGCTAACTAGGATGGCGTAGACCTGTGGACACAGGAGACAGGGTCAGCTCGAGTGGGGGCTGGGCTGGGCCAGAGCCTGAGATATGGAACCAGCTGGAGCTGAACCTGCCAGCAGGGGGTGGGGGGCCTGGGTGGCATCTGTGCACACGCAGCCCCAGGCACACACGCCCAGGAAGGGAAGTGAGAGCCCACAGCCATCCTCTGCCTGGTTCCTCCCTCACTCCTCTCACCCTGCTGACCAAGGTCCCCTGGAGGGGCTGCCCTGAGGTATGTGGTGAGACCGTCTCAAGGGAAGGGTGAAGGTCTTTCCTTGTGAGGGATGCACCCCAGGGTGGGCTGGGGAGGACGACTGGTCCTGCATCGTGCTGGCACCACCCCCAGAGCACCTGCTGTACCTCCCTCTGTGTCAGGGGTGGGTGGAGGACAGCACCCCAGAGACAGAGCATGCCGGTGACCATGAAGGTGTTCACGAGCACGTGCCAGGACACGTACAAGGGTACTTCAAAAACTTGGTGTAAGCAAAAAAAAAAAAAGAAGAAGAAGAAGAAAAAAACTGCAAAAACCAGTTTGTGGAGAAATGGAACTGCATGTCTTGTATGCCCCAGCGTGTCTGTGTTTGTGCGTGTGCATATGCGTGATTGAACCAGTGTGTAAGCACACGTTTTGTATGTGCACCTGAGCATGCCAAGCAGCGTGTGGCACGTGGGCGTGTGCGTCCGTGGGTGTGCATGTGGGTGTGAGTGAGCATATGCAATTGATTGTGTAATGTCGAGGTGCACCAGTGTGTGCTAGTGTAATGTATTTACGTGACTGCATGTGCACTTGTGTGTCCGTGGGTGTGGCGTGTCCTCAGGTGAGCGTGTGGGAGCAGCACTGGGCCCAGCGTATGTCCCGATCTTACATAAAGGGCTGCATTGCAGTGATTCTCAGCTTCATTGGAATTCAGCAGGCAGCTCGGCCCAGGGGCGGACAGCTCGACAGGCGAAATCTCAGTGGTAGCGTCCTCCCCCACAGCACAGCGCTGGCTGCCGGAGCCCCCATGCTGTGCCCTGACGCCTCTCACATGCGCAGTCCCCACCCCCACCCCCACCAAGCACCCTGCTTCCACACCTGGGCCATTTCCAGGCAGACCCGTGGGTGGGGGGAAGGGAAGGGAGGGAGGAAAGGAGAGTCGAGAAGCAGAAACAAAGGTGGCCCCAGGCCCCACCCTATCTAAAGCCCTGCAGTGCGGGCATGTGGCTGGGACGCGCATTTCTGTCCCTGTGCACGGAGCGCCCACCCTCACGCTGACACAAGATGATGAAGCTAACGACAGACGCGGGCCACATGTCCGCGCTGCACACACTGGTCAGGGCCTGGAGCACCAGAGCCCTTCTGAGGACCAACCAAGGTGTGCCAGGTGCAGGTGACCAGTCTGGGGGCTAGGACACTCGTGTTTGGTTCCTACTGAGACCGAGCCTCCCCCGAAGGAGCCGGTGGCTTGGGAGTGGTGTCTTGGGGGGGGGGCAGACAATGATGGACTAAATCTGGGACAGCGGGGGGGAGGGGCGGGGGGCGGGCACCTGGCTGGAGATGAGGTCCTCGCACACCGACAGGGCCATCTGGATGGCGTTGGGCTTGTGGGTGACAGACGTGGCGTTGAGCTGGATCTTCCAGGAGCCGTGCCGCTTGTTGGCCTGGTTCACGGCCTCGCGGAACATCTGCTCGTGCTTGCGCGTGCTCAGCACCGCGCCGATGTTGACGATCTTGGGGTCGCAGGCGGCGCGGGCGAAGGAGCAGGAGACGAGCAGGGCGAGCGTCAGCAGGTGCATGGTGCTCATGGGCTCGGGCCGCGGCAGGCCTGGCTCCGGGCGGCGCGCGCGCGGGGGCCCCGGCGGG